ATTCTCCTCTCGGGATCTTGGGCATGCACGCATACACACCCAGCATGAGTTTTAAGCCACCGGGTCCGGGACGTGAACCGTGGTTGACTCCGTGGGAGTCCAGCGACATAGCCATTACACTAACTGCTGGTTCCCCAAAACAGTAACTTTTCAGCTGGCTCTGTGGCCTGGTGGTTAGGACAGCTGGGTCACACATGCCTGACCACGTGCTTGAGTCCACGCCCTGAGGCCTGGAAGTCGCAGCAGGTGCGTGTGCATGCACGCCCAGACCTGCACAGGAAGGAGGTGGAGGAGGGACGGTCATGCGGCCACTCCTCATGGGACGTGCCTCTCCTCTCTTTGTCTCTTTTTTGAAGCACACATGTCCTCTAGAAAAGAAATAGCAGCTTTCGTTTTCTAAATTGTGCATAACCTCCTAAATTAATTCAAATTACAAAAACTAGTCGTCCTGTTACAGCAGTAGATCATGTATGAGTCCCACCTCTGTGTCGCAGGGTACTTGGGCGTCCGTGGAGAGGAACGCAGAGGAGATGGGCAGAAAGGCCGCGGTGTGCCCTCGGCTTAGGCTCGCCCGGACACGGTCCCTCCCGGAGCCTGAGTCCCATGTCTGACCTGCCCGTTGTCCCTGCTGTCCACAGCTCACGTGATTGCCAAGGCCAAGGGCCTCGCCATTCTGTCTGTGATCAAAGCGGGGTTTCTGGTGACTGCCAGAGGCGGCAGCGGGATTGTCCTGGCCCGGCTCCCGGATGGAAGTAAGTGGCCCTTTGCTTGTTGGGGTGGGTGGTCGGAACCACTTCTCGTCCCGTTTCCTTTCTGAGCACATGTCATGGGGAACAGGGCAGGCTCCCCTGTGTCACCCACAGTGGGTACCATGAGGCCTCTGGACTGGGCTCAGAGTGGTGTCACATGTGTCACAGCCCTCTCAGGACAGGAGACAGCCCACGTCAGCCACATCTGCCCTGTGTCAGCCCGTCGCCCACTGCAGGGCCGTATTTAAACACTTCTAGCGTTAAATGTGAGTTCTCACCACTCGCCTTTTGGTTTTGCTGTGCCCGAAAATAAAAGGCTTTCTGCCCTGCCCCATCGAAGAGCACTTACGTGGTCCCATCGGCAGGTAATTTGGGTTTAGCCTCCAGGGCATGATCTGCAACTTGTTTTTTCAGAGATGAAATAAAACTATATCTGCATAAATCCCAAGGGCCAACGTTTATAGTAATATTTAAAGTGTTTGCAGTTGTATCATAACCAGCGAAAATGCTTTTCATTCCAATCTGACATCTGCTGTCAGTCCTGTACGGAACATGTTTTCCTATTAATAGCTGTTCTTAGCGTACATGATTTAATTTTATTTTAAGAGAGAGAGTGTGGGACACTTACAGAAAACAGCAGAGGTGTTTGTGGGACATACGGCTTTTAGACACCCATTGGTCCCCATGGTCAGTAAACCCTCCTGGAAGCCGTGGACTAGCTCTGGGATGGCACCGTCAGAACCCGCCTCTCTTCAAGCACCCCCTAAATTCTTCTGGGCAGACTTCTAGCAGGGCAACCACAGATGAGAGTGTGGGCGACGGGGTCCCCGTCTGCTGGGGCTGTCTGCAGGAAGCTCTCGGGATGTATGGGTGTCCTGGCCACTGCCCACGGACAGGCGGGACAGTGGGGGCTCTCTGTCCCATGGAGCTTCCTGCTGGGCTCACACCTAAGGTCTCCGCAGCCAGTGAGCAGCAGTGGCACTCCGCTGGGGAAGCCGAGTGGACGAGCTCCTGGGGTCCTGGCCAAGACGGCACCTCTAAGCGGGACAGCCGCTAACAGGGGTTGAAAACCAACCTTGGGATTACCCAGCACAGGCCTCTGTAATCAAAACTCCTCTAAACCTAAGCAGATTAACTCTGGGTATGTTCAAACAGTACCCTAGTCTCTAGAATGCAGGATGGCAAAGAAAACTAGCTTTAGAAAATGATTAGCCATTTACAGGAAGAACTTTATCCAACCTATTCTGCCCTTCCCCTACCAAATTAGAAGTAGTCTTTCTGGATCTGTTTAGCATAACGGTATCAGGACAGGTAAGTTTACAGCAACTCCAAAATGTGTCATTTCATGGCAGATGGAATTTGGAAATACCTTCTGAATGTAAAGAAATGTGTTTCCTTAAAATTTTAATGATCTTGAATTTATAGCCTATTTCTTGTAGTTCTCTGAGGTACAGCAGGGGTTACCACAGACACGATTTAGTCTTCTGTTACCCACAGAAGTGGCTGTAATAAATTCTCTTGACCCCTTCTGATCTGTAATATCTAGGATATGATTCCAAATAAAGACTAGAGCCACCGCCAGACTGTCTCACACACCGTGGCAGCTGAACTGTCGAATGCTGTCCTGCGGCAGGAACCGCATCTGGAATTACTTGAGGGCGGGAGAGACTTGGGGCCCAGTCTCGGAGCCTGAGACCCACAGAGGGTATCTAATCTTTCACTTTAAAAAATGGCATAGAAATATTTAGAATAAAATGTTCAGAAAACATTTTAAAGCATGGGGAAAATCCATAAGTCTTTAAAGGACAAAGCTGTTTGCATGTCGCCATGTTCCCCGGTTCTCCGTCACATACGTAGAATAACTCCTGTCTCTTCACCAGCATGGTCCGCGCCTTCGGCCATCGGGATTGCTGGACTAGGCGGGGGATTCGAAGTCGGAGTCGAGGTAAGCGGGTGAGGCGTGTCTGTGCCCATGTGGTCTCCGGAAGCCTGAGCTCACGCAGGGCAGCGAGGGAGGGTCTCTAGCATCCTCATCTTGCCCCTGACCCCAGTGGAGATCGTTCCGCCTGTATTTCTGGTGGCTCACCGCCAGTTTTCATTCCTTGCCCTCACTGAGCAGAGTTCAGTTCAGTCCCCTCTCCATTTTCCTCTTGGGATTTTGGGCACCACACACGCACATGTGCACGCACATACATACACACACACACACAGTGAGTTTTAAGGGGCCAAGTCCGGGACTCAAACCACGGTCAACTGCATGGGAGTCCAGTGACGTAACCATTAAGCCGTCTGCTGGTCCCAAATCCGTTCGGCTCTTTAAGGAGGGACCTTGCCTGACTTCAGTCTATGACTTTGCTGCGAACGATTAAGCTCGTGTCGATGGACTAGAACCTACACAGCAGGTCACATCATTCCAGGGCCCTCCTCACATGGCGTTAAGCCTTGCCTGGTGCTTTATCTCTAACTGGCTGGCACATCTCAAACCCAACAGCCCATTCGGTCCATTCTCCAGTCTCAGGCAGCACCCACCCAGCTGCCCTGTGCCTTCAGGCTGACCTTCCCCTGGTCTACCAGGAGGAGGTGCTCTTGCAGGCCTTCTTCCACACGTGTTTGGCCTTCAGTACCCACGACTGTAAACTATGGTACCAATGGAAGAAGGTATTTAGCGTTGCGTGTCCGACAGCATTTTTGTATTCCACGCAATCAAACCGAAGCCTTCAGAAGTGGCGCCCTCCTGCGGAAAGTGCACCGGCACAGCTCTGTGCGTGCCCCTCTGCTCCCACTGCCCGGCTTGGGGCTGCAGTCCTCTGCAGGTGTTGGAGGCCGGTTGCGGTGAGGACACTCCCTTCCGAAGCAGGGAGAGACTAAGCAGAAGTGGCTGCACCCCAGGTCCATACAGCAAAGGCCAGAGCGAGCATTCCCCAGACGATTCTTTGCGGTTGCGTTGTCAGTTCAGTATAGACTAACAGCCTCGAAAAACAAGTAGAACAGATGAAGTGCAACCGTATGATCTGTCAGCTACTAGAGCACCAAGTGTGCGTCTTACAAGGCAGCGTGGCAATGGGCAAGCCAGGGCAGGCGGCCTCTGCTGGTGTCCAAGCCCCTTTCCGGTGTGCACCTCAGCTTCCCATCCATGGAAGAGGTAAAGTGAGCCTTCCCTGTTGGCTTACGTCTGTGACTTACACAGGGACTTACCCGTAAAGGCACCTGGGAGGGCGTAAGCTGTCACCTGTGGGTTACTCCCTCCTCCATCTTTGCAGCTTACCTGTGCTTGCTGTTCGTGGAAGCTTCTGATGCAAAGCTTGTCTCTACAGTTTTGAAATTAGCTCTGGAATTTCTCCTGCTGTGCATGAGGATTGTTATTTACTTTTAAAATGCCTATTTCAAATAGAGACAAGAAGCGTGTCCCAAGGATGGGGAATAGGGTCCAGACTTCTCCAATATGGCCAAGTTGGCTCCAGAGCCCCACAGGCATCTCCGAGCATGACTGTGGTGCTCAGGCACTTTCAGGGAGCGCGTCTGGGCTTCTCCGCCTCCCAGGCATGTGTGCCCTCCTCCTCCCTGCCTGGGCAGCTGCTCTGACTCTGCGGCACCTGCTTAGGCAGGGGTGGGCCGCAGGGAGCAGGAGAGCTGCACAGGACCCTTGCGAATCAGGCTCTCTCCATGCCCATGCACCCTGCTGCCGGCTCTGCCCACTGCCCCTGCTGCAGACCCCAGGGTAGGGAGCCAAGCCAAGGACCCACACCAACTCTGAGGCCCTGCTCTGGTGGCCGTCCTGGTGCCTGGCTCCTGGCTCTAGCGACAGTAGCTTGTGTTTACCCTGCTGGTCTTGGTGGCTGCGAGTCCCCAGGGAAGGCAGGGACCGTCTCCTGTCCACAAGGTGTGGCCAGGACCAGCTATGCAATGACACCCACTGAGCCTGTCCCCTGTGCACGGATGGGGACTGACATGCCCACACCCAGGCAGGGCTTGCTTCTGCGCATACAGAAAGCACACACATGGTCAGGTAGTGCCAGCCAAGTTGTCCAGTAATCCAACCACCCACCTACCTGTTTTAGAACAGAATAGGTAATAATAGTTTGCACTTTTACAAACCTTTCAGTCTCATGAAGTTGCTCCCTGGACATGAGCAGTGGCTGTCAATGGCCTCTTACAGTGAAATACCCAGAGGTAGTGGCAGTTGGTGGCCCTGGACGGGCCCTGGACCAGTCTGGGTATTTCGGACATTGAGGGGCAGGACGTCTAGTCTAAGCCTCCTTCAGATGGGAGGAAAAGAAGGTTCAGAGAAACTGTGGTACTTGTTCGAGGCCTCACAGGTGCATGGGTGATAAAGTCCAGCTTGCTTTAAAAAAAAAAAAGTATTATTTCTCCCATGGGAGAGAGACAGGAAAGAGAAAGAGAGAGGCACCCCACACTCACAGGGTCCTCACGCCATAACCCTTCTCTTGGCCGTGCCCAGGATCCTGGTACGCAGGCTGCCATGTGCAGGAGGACCTTGGGTGCCAGCCTGGGTCTTCCCCAGCCTCAGCATGACTGGCTGGTATGACTGCTGCACACTGGGGTGGCCAGACCCCACCTACCCCGGTCGGACCTGATGTAACTTCTGCTTCCGAGGACATCATAAGAGGCAGGCAGAGACCCGCGATGACACTGGCATCTTGCCTAGCAACTAGGGCGTGGGTGCACAGTGCATGTGGAGATTGAGCAGATATTCTCTGGAGGGAAGAGTATTTGGGACTAAAGAGTAGACAGAGGGAGGGAGCCAACCAGTCCCTGGTATAGGCTAAAGTGACCCTGGTCTGATGGCAGGACGAGAAGGCTGATCTGATGACAGGCCTGCCGGGCCTGGAAGAGCTCCATGCACTAGCAACTGGTCAGGGTCAGGGTCAGGGCTAGGGTCAGAGCTAGAGCTAGGACTGGAGTTGGGGCTAGGGTCAGGGCAAGGACTAGGGTCAGGGCAAGGGTCAGGACAAGGGCTAGGGTCAGGGTGAGGACTAGGGTCAGGGCGAGGGTCAGGACAAGGGCTAGGGTCAGGGCGAGGGCCAGCAGGACAACTAGAGGCAGGTAGATGCCAAGTGCTTGGATATGGCTAGGAACTAGTTGCAGTTGGGGCTAAAGTGAGGGTTAGTGGTTCGGGTTAGAGTTAGGGTCAGGGTTAGTGGTTAGGGTCAGGGTCAGGGTTAGGGTCAGGATTAGTGCTTGAGTTAGTTTATACTTAGGGTTAGGGCTAGTGGTTAGGGTCAGGGTCAGGGTCAGTGTTAGGGTTAGGGTCAGGGTTAGTGCTTGAGTTAGTTAGAGTTAGGGTCAGGGTCAGGGTTAGTGGTTAGGGTCAGGGTCAGGGTTATGGTTAGGGTCAGGATTAGTGCTTGAGTTAGTTTAGGGTTAGGGTTAGTATTAATGGTCAGGTCAGGGTCAGGGTCAGGGTTAGGATCAGGGTTAGCGCTTGAGTTAGTTTATTGTTAGGGCTCATGTTGGTTAGGGTTAGGGTCAGAGTCAGGGTCAGGGTTAGGGTTAGGGTTAGTGGTTAGGGTTAAGGTCAAGGTCAGGGTTAGTGCTTGAGTTAGTTTATGGTTAGGGTCACGGTTAGGGTTAGTGGTCAGGGTCAGGGTTAGTGTTTGAGTTAGTTTATGGTCAGGGTTAGTGGTTAGGGTCAGGGTCAGGGTCAGGGTCAGGGTTAGTGCTTGAGTTAGTTTATGGTCAGGGTTAGTGGTCGGGGTCAGGGTCAGGGTTAGTGCTTGAGTTAGTTTGTGGTCAGGGCTCATGTTGTGGTCAGGGTCATGTGGTCTGGTCGCCTCTCATCCTGCGTTTCGTGTCACTCTCCAGGCCTACTTCGGCGCCTCACAGTGTGTGCGGGCATCTTTCCTAGACGGCTCCTTGCTCCGGGCCGTGTTTGCCTTTACCGTTCCCTGCAAACCCTAGACTCAGCTTTTGCTCGAGGGACCTGAGCCCTGCACACCGTGTATGCCCTGGGTGCCCTCTGTCACTGATTCTCTCAACTTCCAGGTGCGCGCTTCCTGGTGGGGGCTCCGGGCTCCGCCAGGGTTTCAGGTGTGGGAAGTCTGCCAGGACCAGGCCTAGCTGTCCTGCTCTGTGGCCTTCGGCCCTCTCTGTCATTAGGGTCCCACTGGAGGGGGTCAGGCACATGGTTGGTTCTTCCCACCCACCTTCATTGTCTTTCCACTGTCAACAGTGACAATCTCCTTCTGCTCAGCAGCCCTTAGAGCTGACACCCCAAACCTGGGAGGACTGAAGGGTGCCCTGTGTGTAAGTCTGAGGGGGACCGTGCTGAGGTGTGTCCCCCATCGCTGTCCCCATGCAGCGCCTTCCCTCTTCCGCTGAAAACGGAAATGTGGCTCCTCTTCCGTATCCTGTGTCTGTCTGCATTCAGTTTCCACATTACACGTCGTATAGCTGAGCTTTAACCAACATGTTTTAAATGCCGTTTGGTCTAACTCTTTAAATGCATGGTCTCTACATTTTAGGTATCAGATTTGGTGATCATTTTGAATTATGACCGAGCAGTAGAAGCTTTCGCAAAAGGCGGTAACCTCACGCTTGGAGGGAATTTCACTGTGGCTGTTGGGCCCTTGGGAAGGTGAGTTCTGAAAGCACTTTCTAAATAGATGTTACATAATAAAGGTTTAAAATTTGTTTTTTTACATTAAGAGGAAACATGGGGGCCAGCAGGTGGCATGGTGGTTAAGGGCGCTGGACTCCCACATGGCCGACCATTGTTCGAGTCCCAGACCTGACATCTTGCTTTCTCTCTTGCTCTCTCTCTCCCTCTCTCTCTCTCTCTCTCTCTCTCTCTCTCCCTCTCTGGTCAAATTAAAAAATACATATATAAATAAATAAAGTACAATAAAATAATTATTTTCTAAAAAGATATTAAGTTTAAGAAGAAAGAGGAAACATGAATGTAAATGAGCAGATCTACGACGTAAACATTCCCCAGGTGACTGAGGTCGTCAGAAATAAATTCATAAACACAGCCAGCGCGATGGACTGTAACGGAAAATCTGAGACCGGAAACACAAGGAAATCAAAACCGCGTTTTACTCCGCGGTTCTGTCTTGGGTGTGCTCGCTCTCTCTGCCAACAAAGTGCTATTCTAGTGTTACTCGAGCAGTGCAGGCATGCTTTATACGTGGGCTCCTTACAGGAGCTGCAGAGAAATCTGAGCTTCCTAGGTTCCGTGAAAATACTCGCCCGTAAGAGAATCCAAAATTTTTCATGCACAGCCTGTTTGAGGAGAGGAGGATGCACAGGGACGCACCGCCGGGTGGCTCTACCTGGTCCTGCCCTCTGCTGGCTCCACACCGTGTTCTTCCTCACCTCCCCATGGCGCTCTTTCCTCCAGGCCAGAGGAGTTGAAGTAGGTAGAGGATGAGTTAGTTCATTCAGGCTCCAAGTCCAATGCTGTTCACACACTCGCCTGCAGGTTTGGAGCCCCCCTGGCTCTGTGAGACAGGATCGTGTATTTTACAGGAATTTAGAAGGGGACGTTGCCCTGAGAAGTCCCGCTGCCGTCTTCACCTACTGCAAATCCAGAGGACTCTTTGCCGGCGTTTCTCTGGAAGGGAGCTACCTGATCGAAAGGAAAGAGACCAATCGAAAGTAAGTTCAGCGGGGACCAGCAGTTAGCGTAATGGCTATGTCGCTGGACTCCCATGTAGTCGACCGCGGTTCGTGTCCCTGACCCGGTGGCTTAAACTCACACCAGGCGCGTGTGCGTGTGTGCCCAAGATCCCGAGAGGAGAATGGAGGAGAAGGGATTGTGGCATGGCCATCCCCCCTGGGGGGTGATTTCTTGCTTTCTGTCTCTCGGTCTCTCTCTGTCTGGCGAGTGCACATGCTCCCTATAGCAAAAACCTCTCCAAAAAAAAAAAAAAAGTTCAGCCATGCCACGCTTTCTCCCTGGGAGTGGGTGTGAGGGACAGCCACTGAGGCAGCTCTGGCGTGTCTGCAGAGCCTGTGTGTGTGTGCAGTGGGTATAGAGCGTATGCAGGGTGTGTGTTTAGTGTGTACAGAGTGAGTGTGCAGGGTGTGTATGCAGAACGAGTGTGCAGAGAAAGTGTGCAGGACATGTGTGCAGAGCGAGTGTGTGGAGTGAGTGTGCGGGGTGTGTATGCAGAACAAGTGTGCAGGGCGTGTGTGCAGAACGAATGTGCAGAGCGAGTGTGTGCAGAGCGAGTGTGTGGATTGCATTCATCCGTCCCTTTCAGTGCAGCAACATGTGGCTCTAGGTGTATATTTAAAAATTCAATGTAGGGACCAGCACATGGTGTAATGGTTATGTTGCTGGACTTCCATGTAGTCAACCGCAGTTCAAGTCCCGGACCCAGTGGCTTAAAACTCACATGAGGTGTGTGCATGTATGTGCCCAAAATCCCAGGAGGAGAATGGAGGAGAAGGGATTGCCACATGGCCCTCCTCTCTGAGGGGTGATTTCTCGCTTTCTGTCTGTCTCTCTTTGTTACCCAGCAAGCACACACACCCTATAGCAAAAGTCTTTCTTTTAAAAAAATTCAATGTAAAAGTAATATGTGCTTATAGAAAATTTAGAAAACATTAAAAAGTAAAAAAGCACTCTGCCCCTCGAAGAAAACCCTATCCACACTTGTCTCCTGCCGCGCCTGGTGCACACCCATCACAGCACTGCTCCTTGCTTGGTACTGCGCCTCAGGGCCGGCCGGGCCCTCTGATCCAGGTGGGGCTGGCGTTCTCAGGCCTGGAGCAGGGCGCACCAGCTCCAACGCACGGGGCGGCCAGACAATCATCATCGTGAGGCTCGCCATTGGCTCCACCCGTCTTTCCTCCGTCTCAAATGGAAACCAACTTTCAGTAAAAATATAGTTTGACCTTTTTTTAGAGAGATTTTTGCAACAGGGCACATGTGCTCACCAGAGAGATAGAGAGAGACAGACAGAAACCAAGAAGTCACCCTCCAGGAGGATCGCCATGCCACAATCCCTTCTCCATTCTTCTCTCAGGAGTTTGGATATGGACACACACACACACACACACACACACACACACACATGCCTGGCCTGAGTTTTAAGCCTCTGAGTCTGAGACTTAAACTGCGGTAGATTATGTGGGAGTCCAGCAACGTAACCATTATGCCATCTGCTGGTCCCTTATAGCTTTATTAAAAAAAAAAAAAAGGATTTGGAAATATCATAAGAGGTGAGGGGAAATTTCTGCTTTAAATTGGCATCTCTATCATTTTTCTCAAAGCAGCAGACCCAAGAGAAGTAAAACACCATGCCTGGCAGGGGGCTTGCAGAGCTGGCAGAGTCCCCACCTGGGGCCGAAGGGCTGAGGCACAGCTGGGGCCCAGGCTCCGCCTGCAGCAAACAGCCCCCCCTAGACACCAGACCCACGCAAGTCCCCTGGCCTGGTCCACTCACAGTTCAGCTTATTTTTGCTTAGAAAAACAAAAAACTGCATCACGACTTTTCTGACAACCCAATAAAACCAAGAGCAATGTTTTCACCTCTGATTTTATTGATTTGAGGAGTATTACTTAAAGGCTTTTCGGGGACGGGCAGGTGGCATGTGGTTAAGGCGCTGCACTCCCCCATGATTGGCTATGCTCAGTTCCAGACCTGATGGCTTAAAACTGATGCCAGGTGTGTGTGTGTGTGCTTGTGTGTGTGTGAGTGCCCAAAATACCAGAGGAGAATGGAGAAGAGACTGCAGCATGGACATCCCCCCTGGGAAGTGATTTCTCACTTTCTTTCTCTCTGCCTCTCTCAGGCAAGTACCTATGTCCTGTGACAAAACCTGGGGGAACAAAGGCCTTTGTGGGGCCAGCAGATGGGATAGTGGTTACATCACTGGACTCCCACATGACCAACAGTGATCTGAGTCCTGGACCCAGGAGCTCGAAAATCACACCAGGCCCATGTGCGTGTGTGCCCAAGATGCTGGGAGGAGAATGGAGGAGAGATGCTGACATGGTCACCCCCCACCAGTGGTGGTTTCTCACTTTCCTTCTCTCTCTCTCTCTCTCTCTCTCTCTCTCTCTCTCTCTCTCTCTCCAGCACACACTGGACCTGGCAGCTTGCTTGCTCACCTTCTTTCTGTCTCTCTCTCTTTCTCTCTCTATTGCTCTCAAGAACACATGCCCTAAGGCAAAACTTCTACTAAAAAAAAAAAAAGGGCTTTTAGGACCTTCTGACTATAACCCTGTGGCAGACTGCCCCACTGAAGTTCAACTTAATCCTGAATAAACTAAAACAGAAATACTTCTTAATGAATTGCAGGACTTCCAAACATGTGAGATAAGCCTTTATGTAATTTTGATTAAAAAAATAAATATTTTAGGAGCCAACAGGTGAGGTAGTAGGTAAGGCATTTGGACTCCCACATGTCTGACTGTGGTTTGAGTCCTAGACTCAGTGACTTCAAACTCATACCAGGCACATGTGCTCTCATGCCCAAATTCCCCAGGAGGAGGAGGAGGGGTGGCAGTGTGGCCAGCCCTCCTGGGGAGAGATTTCTCACTTTCCCTGTCACTGTCTCTCTCCAGCCAATGTATGCTCCCTATGGCAAAAACCTAAAATTTAAAGAAATTACAAACTATATGCCTGGTATCATTTTTATAAGATACTTCAAAACCAAGTAAATACAGGTATGTTTAGTTTTGTTTACACATGTACATGTGCATATAATATGTGTGCATGCAAGCCTTGGTACGTGTCTACGGGTGGCTTTTACATGAGTAGAGGAGGGTGCAAATCAGAACACTGATGGTAGTTTCTTCTGGACATGAGTTTGAGGGAGTGGATTTAACACTCTCCACACTGTGGTAGAGACTGAAAGGTTGGAGAACATAAAAGCACTGAAGATAGTTATGACACCGGAGACAGTGAGGACAGAGGGTGGGAGAGGGAA